AGGGCAACGAAACCGACACATACAATGAACGAAGTTGTCAGCAACAATAAAGGTTATACGGATGCAGTAGAAAATTCATACAACATTGAAAATGATGACGATGATAATGAGTGGTAAACGACGACGGTGATGAGAGTTGTGACACTGAATAATTTTTATTATTTTGTATTTTTTTTTTTCGCAATAAAAATTACGTAGATCAAAATTTTTTTTTTCATTCCTATTTGTATTTTTTTTCTTTGCAATAAAAATTATGTGATCAAATTTTTTTTCAGAAAAAAAAATTTTTCTGAAATTACCACCCAGTGAAAGCAAAAAATCCCTTCCCAAAAAATTAGGTTTAAAAAACAAAGATTATTCGGTTTCAATTGCAATTGCAACGCATTGCTTTGCAATTCATTCAATGCAATTGCAACCTGTTTTATAAAATAAAACATTTGCCGTACGACACAATTTTTGCTAAATATGGTGAAAACGTGATCGCACCAAAAACCGAAAAGACCAGGCGCGGCTAGACGCAAAAGGAGACAATCGGCGAGAAAACTGCACGGAAGTCGCACGACTTGCGAGTTTTGGAAGGAGATCGTGACACGGCAAATGTTAAATCTTTTTTAATTATTTCGTGTCTTTATTATTTATCTTCTGGATAGATTGATAAGAGTTCTTATGATTATTTTATTTATATTTTATCAATCTTTTATTATTTATTTATATTATATCAATCTATGTAATTTTATTATATAAAGGACATCATTTTTAAGATAATAAAGATAACTTGTATTTTTACAATACTTAAAGCACCTGTTCAATGAACGTGTTATAATATTGTTTTTAATTTCGTTAAGAAAAGTAATTCTTACAATAATTTAGTTTAGACACCCATTTATAGTTCATACATTTATATTGGATCTACATGTAATTTCCGAATGCTAAGAAAAGGTTATCCACATAAATCTGTCTCCTTTTTAAATACTTTTGTTATTAAAAGTCGATATGACTTTTCAAAATATTAATATAGAAGAGGAACTTGAAGATCCACAAATTAAAGATTGGAGTTGGTTGTGGACTGATTACAAATACAGATGGAATCCTACTTTAAGAACAGGTGCTGAATTCAACAGGCACCTCATCAGCACCTATGGTGCATCATTCATACATTGTCTCAATGAAGCGTCTTCAAAGAGTTTAGAGAAACTATTTAAGATTAATCTGAAATCGACTATCGAGAAAAAACTTGAACGTAATTCCCATCCGATTGGACTTGTTATGGGAGCACCGGGTATCGGAAAAACTCAATTTCTTTTAGAATGTGTTGACCATATCCAGTATAATGATCTGGAGCTCTTGGAAAACTATTTAGTTGACCTTGTTATTATTACCTTTAATTTTCCATAGTTTGCCATTATTATAATGCCCATGGGCTAAGCCATATTTGTTAGAATATCCATGATGGTAAGCATTGGCTTCATTATACTTTTGCTCAATATCAGTGATTTTCTTTATTCTATCTAAATCATTTTTAATTTCATCTAAGCCTTGAATATAGTGCCTAAAATGGGTTAAATGTTCCTGCTGATTTGCCATACCCTATAAAACTCCCTAGTTTTTTTTTTGTAACAATAATAGATATTTTTTATAAAAAAATGACCATTGGGATAAAAATCAAGATTCCGATGCCTGCTTGGGTTTTCAGTTATTGCATGCTATTTTTGCAGATCCAGTACGTAGGTTTGATAATTTTGTTGCTGATTTAACTGGTGCTGGTTCGAATAATGTCCATATGACACTTGAAAAGGCAATCAAAATAGCATGTAAAGGTTTGGGTGTCCTGGATACAGATAACTGGCTTATAGTAGTAGCCATTGACGAATTCGATCAAATCTTAGATAGATTTGAGGGTGACACTGGCCGCAAATTTCTATCTGAGTTAATTAAAGTTCTTGGTGTGGTTGTATGTCAACCACCTACACAAACCACCGTGATAGGATTACTGGCAGGAACAATGGCAACGACTATGAATGCTATATTCTGTGAATCATATCATGAGACGATGTCCGTGCGTCTTTTTCCACTCAACAGAATTGAGAGAAGAAAGATTTTGTCATCGTTGGATAAATTTCCACAAAATTGGGAGACATGTCAAAAGTTCAGGGATTCTTTAGCTGATGTTGGAGGTCTTCCTCGGCTGTTTGAAAAATTTCTTATGGATTGTCAAAAATATATTGATGATGGAATTCAAATCGAAGATTGGCCCTACGAAGAAATTATCATACCCGAGGTTAAGTCTTATGCCCGCACAAAATACCTTGCCGGGGCTGTGCCATATGCTGAAAAACTTATTGAAGATACCATTCTCCAAACCCCTGTTTTCCGTGAAAGTATAATAGATCCAACAGAAAAGTTACCTGCTACATATGGCGATCTCGAATCTCGTGCTGATATTCTTCTCGTTGAACAAAATGATAAGACATGTATAGTTACTTTGCCATTTCTTCTTCTTCAATGGCTAGTTATAGTTAAGGGAGGTCTTTCTAATCCAGCGACAAACTTACTCAGAGACATTCTTGATCCCGATAGGGAACATAATACATGGCGAGAATTTGAAGTATTAGTTGCCATGTTTAACGCTATAAAAATAATGTTCTTTTATCAGCGTGAGACACGAAAAAGATCAAATGGTGATCCTATATTCTTAAGTCTAGAAAAAATTTTTGGTACAAAAGCTCCTCCATATAATATTATACTATCTCAGAATGTTAATGTCTGTAGATCTCGTGAGCAGTTTCCACCGAAAAAAAAAATCGCTGGCATCAGGACAAGAGAACATATAAAATGGGAAGAAGATGGTACTATAGTTTTAAATAGTATACCGGCACACTTTGTAGATATTTTCACGGTTAGAAAAACATATGATACTTCTCTTGTTAGTAATGGTCATAATTATTTGATGATATGCGAACAGTGTAAACAAGATTTCATAGATACGAAACTAACAAAAAAAAGGATTGAAAATGAGATCTCAAAAATATACGAAGCTATCAAAAAGCATGTTCCCAAGTACAAAGAATGTTGGGTGCTCGTAATTTATAGCACACAAAAAATAGAAGAAAAAATTGATGACGAAAGATGTATAGTTCTTGACAGCATAGGAATGGAACGCCATTTTGGTTCAGCTTTGGCGGAAAGAGTCTTTTCTATGCTAGAAAATCAAAAAATTAATGCCAACAATTCTGAAGTTGATGAATCCTATGGAATTGGAACTTCAAATAATATGGTTAAAGAACAACGAAATAGTCTAACCAATATTCACGGGTGGAATGATTTAAAACGTCGCATTAGTAAAATTCCCAAAAATTTGAAAGATCGTTTCGAATCGTAGAAATTAATTTATGAATATGATATGTATAAACTATCTCCGTATAAATCACCATGATTACAATTATAAAATTATATACTTTTAATAATATTTATTAATTACGTTCGAATTGCTTCGTGAGATCACTGAACGCTTGTATGAGATTATGTAAGAATATAATTCTTACTATTGCGTGAAATATATAATTCTGTTTTTACCATATGGAAAGCACCCAATATTTTATCTGAAAGGACATCTTTTTGTATTTGTATGGGGAAATTTATGGAAAAATTATGGAATTTTACGGAAAATATAAATTCCATACTAATACTAATACTAATATTAATACATTTCCTATATGTTTCCGTGCATTTTCGGTATATTTTAGAACAAAAGTAACATTTTTCATACAAAAAGATATGAAAAAGCGCTCTTTTCATGTAAAATTCTGGGGCATTTTCCGTGCCTCCTCCATATATTTTTCATGCAAAATTTTATAGGGATAGCAACAAAGAAAATTTTATGTGTGAAAAATTATAGGGAATATATATACATGTTATTATTAGACATATATGTATGTGGTGGCGGTGACTATTATAGCTATCCTGGTTTACAATATACAAATATATTTACAAATGACTAGAGAATTAATTGATTTTTTAAGGACAAATGCAATGTTTTAACACGAAAGTTTTAAATAATATTATTGTATTACTCAGAGAATGTTTTATACAAATCAGATTTCATTTGGAGTTGTCAACACATCGTAATCCAAGGTATTGTATTATATAATAAATAGCCATTTAAAAATGTTGTCAAAAAAATATTTTTTATAATAAATTGCGAATCCTTTACCTGTTACCTTCGTAAGCTTCTATGAATAAATAATCAGAATTCTTGTTCGCTTATTAGGAGACGACTTGATAAACACACATTGGTGTTTTCTTTTCTTTTTAATTATATGCTAGAGCCGTAAGCTGTTATCGTGACCGAATAATTGGCTACTCCCAGAAGTATAGTCACACTTGTCTATTTGCATGCCGTATATTTGCATAATCTGTTCATTTGCATAAATATAGCTCAGTTCCATATCAGGACTTATAAACTACTTGCATAATGTAAGCATGCATATGCATCAAAAGTGATCCTGATACTACTAAGTCCCACAAACTTATGTATATTATAAAAAGAAAGATCAATACGACATTTTTATTTATTTTTCATCCAAAAAAATCATTAATAGTACTTTGTTTCATGGAATCAGAATAATCTTTTTAATAGTATTATTTACACTAGTTAACTTTTTAATTTCATTCGAACAATTTTTAGGCTGCTGTAAAAAAAATGTCAATGAATCATCAGGAATGTTAAACAATTTTGCAAATAACTTGGCTTTCTCGGTTACTATCAGGCCTATGGGAGGAATACGACCTTGTGACATTACGGGACTTTTTTTACAATGGTTTTTGTAGTGGTTTTGTTTCATTACCTAAATACTCAAATGAACATTTTAATGTTTAGAAATAGTTACTGATCAACTTTTACACCAAATTCTTGTTCACACCAATCAATTAATTCTTTTTGGATTATTTTTTGATCATCTTGCTTTTCAGACAGATTTTATAAACGTTGATGATTGTTTATTTAACCTTTTTCATTGTAAATATAAAGGACAAAGTATGGTATTCAAAAATTTTATTAATATTATTTAATCACGACACTATAATTTTTTACATGTAATTTGTATCATGTGATTTCATGTTAACAATCATGTGATAACATGAACATTATTTCATAAAAATTCATTTGTCCCAACAGTATGCAAATAGACAGGTACGAATGTATCAATAAAACGAGTAGAACTCACGAGTTAAATAGTCTTACAAGCTATTTTGGACTGAGTCGCAAAAGTGGTTTGCCACCTACAAAAATATACATTTGGGTTGTAAGTGGCAAACTATAGAACAATTATATAGAAAATAGTATAAATTATCCACCATTAATGCGGGGCACAAAAAAATCAATTTAGAGACGGAATTAATTTTTGTTTGTTGGTTTATAAATAAATTATAACAACGTGTTAAATGGATTGGTCAATTGTGTTCGGATTAATTGTATTAATTGTAGTACTAATAAAAAACTATATATATATAAAGTCAATAAAAATCTAATAAAAATTAAAAAATGGATAATAATTATAATAACAATAATATTGATATTTTTAACATTAATAATAAATACGATGACTGTGATGACAGTATTAATGACCAAAACACTGTTACTTCTCATTTGAATATTATTAATCAATACCCGGTCGCTAATAATCTAGTTACAAGTAATCAAAACGTCAACGACGATAATCAAGTCCATCGAAACATGATTTAGATTTATAAACAACATATTAATCAAAATTCTGGAGAAATATATCGAAACGTCGATAATAATAATTACATGGCTCATCAAAACCTTGAAGACATTTATAAAAACGCTTGCAATGATGATTACATTCGTCAAACCACGATTTATAATTATCAAAATAATTTCGTTACCGAACCGAACTCAGCTAATATCACGAGTATTAATCGTCAGAATTCTGTTGATTGCGATTTCATTAATCAAAATAATTCAAACAATCATCAAAATTATACTGTCGTCAATAATTTCGCCGACAACAATTTGACCAGAGACCAGAAATTAATTTACATCACATCCCTACTTCAAAATATCCAAAATGTTGTAAATCAATTGCTGGATAACAATAACTGATAGGTTAGTATCAATGTTAAAAGGCAATATCGATTAAATAACAACATTGATAATGATATCAATTAATTAATTTATTTATTTATTATGTTTAGTCATTTTTACACAGGTGAGAAAATCAAATTTTACTTGGAATGTAAATTTTAACTTTTTATATTTCTATTTTCTTTTCGGGTTGTTATTATTGTTATGTTTCTTTTATTTGTTACACAGTATAAATCTCTTATCTAACATTGGGAAATTTCTTATTAACTTTTGTCCCAGTATCAATTATTACAGTTGCAACTGCTTTATATAAATGCATGGAGCCAGGTGGTTGGACTAGCAACTGTAATCAAGAAGTTCAGAACTTTGTTCAAATGTTTGAAAGAGTGAAGAAGCTTGTACCAATTGAGGATAAAGTGCGCCTAGATAGGCTCCAAAGTTTTTTGGACAGGGTCAAGATCTAGAACAACGGGTAAGATTACAATAATATTTTGATTTAACTATAGCAATTATGATGATTTTTTTTTGTGTTTACCCCCAATGACCGCATATATAGAAGCACATTGGTAACAGATGTTCTGGTGAAGATAGTATTTGGGTGCTGTTGCAGTGTGTTATCTGCATTTGTGGTTCAAGACCAATATCTGTAATAAGGGCCAATGAAGATATAAATATATCAATACTCTGAACCCGTGTGGGTGTGATTTATCATTATCTACCTTATTTAATTTCTAATAACATATTTTCAACTTTGACTTAGGTAATAATGGCATTTGAAGACATGGCCTCACTTTTAGAGTTAAATGCCTTAGTATGTATAAATTAGTGTTTGAATCCGAATCTCAAATGAGACTCATTAAGGAGGTTACACATTATCAAGATCATGTGGTGAACACATGATTTTAAGGGTAGAGTGTAGGTAACACATTATCAAGATCATGTGGTGAACACATGATTTTAAGGGTAGAGTGTAGGTAACACGAATTTCACTATGATACTGTTCATAAAAAAAATTACATAACACTCCGAGTTGTTAGCCTCATACATAAGTACTGTAAAGTCTGGAAAGATAGCATCCCCTTTTTACATATGTGTAACATTTTTTTTATATTGACGCTCAATTGTTTTAAAGTAGGGGGTGCTATCTTTCCAGACTTTACGGTATTCTAAAAACTAATTTTTGTGAGATGTTTACTATCGCAAAATCCTTTTTCAGAACCTATCCAATTGTATTGTGATAAAAATTTTGATGTCTTGTTAAAAGGTTCTTTTAAAAAAATCTTGTAAAGTCAAAAGTAGCTTTCCCATCACTTATAAAACATATCAAACCTATAATAAATATAATAAATAGCCATAACACACACAATAATAATTGTAATAATATTTCTTTAGAATAAATAAAAGACTAATAATTTGTTAAAATCTTGTCTATTTCTTTGTAATAAATATAAATACCAAAAGAAAATTGCCTGTTTTAATCAAGGTAAGTGATATTAGTTTTGTTCATGTAATTTGGATCATTAAAACATTTAAAATAGAATTTTTTAAAAACAACTATATAGATGAGTTGAGGGATGGTAGCAGAAGTCAATAACAAGATAGCAATATATCTCCACTTACTCTACATACACTATTTGCTCTATATACCTATTCTAACAGGAGGGAACGTACTGGGAACACAAAATTAACAGGAGGGAACACAAAAATTTAACCCATGCAATTTTGTGATT